TTGCCAGTCAAGCGGAAGACCCAATACTATTATGGGCTACTGGACTCTTTTAGAATATTTTGCTGAGTTAACACACCTATAATATTCAAATGACGGAACTAAACACAAAAGGGGATATATAAATGAATGTCCATTTTGTATCTGTGTGTTCAAAGTGGTTAGGATAGATATATAGTTACATTCTCTTAGTGACTAGAGGGATTTGTTCTAATAGTGTTTGTAAATAGGCTATCATGTCTGCATCTTGTACAGCAAATAACCACTAGGAAGACAGTATACAATGTGTTAATTATTGAAACCGTCCTACCAATTTGATTTGAAATTGTCTCATTGCTATTTGTCTGTCAATAAAATTATGGAAAAAAATAAAAGGAAAGGGAATAGTATTTTATGTATTCATTATTCACTTACATACTTTTTCGATGAGAAAATTTTTATTTTATCAGATACTTGAAAATGATTCAGTTAATGAACAGTTTCCAAGAAAAAAACTAAAACAAAATCATACTGTGACTTATGGGTTAAATCAGTTAAAATTCATTTGTGTGAGTACAATGTACTGTTTCTAATTGAGGCTTTTCCTAGCAATAGAATGTTGATATAGGTCTACATTGTATTGTTCTGTAGTAGTTTTCTGGGAAAATCTCCTGTGAATCACATTTCTTCTTCTTTTTTTTTTTTTTTTTTAATTTAAAGGACTTTCTAAACCTGGCTTAGAATGTAATTTCAGTGATACATTCCCAGAGCAAAAATTTAATCCAAGACAAGGGTCATACTTAAGAATTTGGGATAAAATTAAGCACTGTTGATAGCAAAATCATATTTGAGACAAGTAATAATTTGCAAATTATTTTTGCATTTAAGTGGCATATTGCTCTTCTGAGTAATAATGGTATAAACTGAAAGCTTGCTGAAAGGAGAGTTGATTTACAAAGACCCACAGGTTTGAGGGCCTTTCTGATCATGTCTTATTTATGTATTTGAGACTGCAAAGTGTTCTTCAGTTATCCTTTGCTCTGTAGTGTGAAAACTGAGGCTCAGAGGCCTCCCATGTGAGCGCAGTTGCCAATATCTATTTTGAGAGATGAGGCCAGGTAAGGCCAGTAACAATCTGAAGATACCTTGTCTCATTGAAAAGCATCTGGGGAAGAGAACAGAATTGTCTTCACGGTATTGCCCTAGTTGGGGGTCATTTCCATGCTCCTCTAATACTCCTTCTCTCTCTGTGTTGTTCTCTAGCATAATAAAAACTCTCAATGGTGTCAGGAACATTTCCTGAATTACAAGGGTCTTGTCAGAGCTGTGACTGTGAGAGAACAGTTGAAAAAGCTGCTTGTGAAGTTTCAGGTGCCCAAGATGTCTAGCGAAGGTGAGAATAAACTGCTCCTGTCTGTGACTGCCCTTTCTTTGCCTGACTTGCTTGCATTCATAGTGTTCTCGTGCTGCGCTAATGTGAGGCTCTGCAGTGTGCTCTGGCTCTATGCCAGGTTTTACGTTTGAATTACCTGCCTGAATGGTAGTTGAATATAAAGTTGTGTATTTTTCTCCAGGAACTTCATTTGTATTTCATTTCATAGGGGTATACTTACAAAAAAAAAAAAAGGAAAGAAAAAAAAAGAAAAAGCCAGAAAACTTAGGAAAGCACTTAAGAATCCTTAACATTCACATCATTGTGTGTCATGTAATTAATGTGATTGTGTGGTCATTGCAAGGAAAATTTCTTCTAAGTGGTTGGAGCTTAGGGCTATTACATAAAAATTATTTCCTTTTTGATGCCAACATTATTAAAGCAATTGCATGTATTTAGCCTGGCCAGTCCCTAAGGATAAGGCTAAACAGAACAATAAAAAAGCCTTTGACAATGACATTGATGCTATTGATTGAGGGCACAGGTTATACTGTACTCAGGAATGTACAGATGTTCTCTAGGTTTATCTCCCACTGTGGCAGGTGTCTATGAGAGCATTTTGACTTTATCTTTTTAATTTGTTTGAGCAGAGTCTTACTATGTGGTTTATACTGGCTTTGAACTTACTGTGTGCTCCAAGGTGGCCTCCAGTTCACAGTGAACCTCCCAAGTGCTGGGATTACAGGCAGGTGCCACCACACGCCACTAGCATTTTTACTTTACAGAGTAGTTGGAAAGTCCTAGGGACGAGTTAAATTCTGTTTAGGTGGCGTGGTTAGCAGACCCCATGTGTGCAGCCCAGAAGCCACATCCCTTCAGGCATCCAGTGATCAGTTGTCTTGAAAGCCTACTGGGTGCCCGGTATTGAGCCACATTCTCAATCTCACTGGTACTTGTTAATTTTTCTTGAGTGCTTTTAATAGGCCAGACAGTGTTGTGAATGTTTTCATGTTAATTGATTTAGGCTCACAACCATTGCTGTTATCTTCGTTTTATACATGAGATGCATGAGAATAATGAGGCTAAGGGGCCAGAGGTCATACAGGATGTGTATGATGGAGTCAGAACCTGGATTTTTTTGGTACTAGGAATTGAACTCAGGACTTTGTACTTGCCAGGCAGGCACTGAGAACCCAAGAAATTTTATTTCAGATTCTTCTACTGCCTCTGTGCTAAGAACAAGGATGAGTGATTAGAAGGTGACCAAGACCTGGTTCTTAGGGTGTAATGCATTGAAGGGAGAGACTCATTACAGATAGACAAATTGTAAGTCCTTTTTAGAATTTAAAATAGTAGACAGTACAGTAATTACATTCATAGCAGCAAGTATACCAGCAGTGCAGGAAGAGGGAACCCATGAAGTTGACCTAGAGAGGTAGTGGACATCCTGTCAAGTATTGGCGGCCTGGTAGAAGTAGAAAACAGAAGAAAGAGCACACTGGACCTGGAGGGCTATCAGGACAACTACTTGGAATAAGGAGCATATTAGATGCTGACAAGAAAGGGAAGAGTTGCCTCATTGGTGACTGGGTCACATTGGTGTAATGGATAGAAGCTTACAAGGGGCAGCTAACTGGGGAGGCTCCTGTCACTTGGCAGAGTAATTACGGTCTTGTTTCTGTGTCTGTGTATCTGAACCTGTTCTTTTTATCAAGGAATGCCTAGGAATAAGACGTTGTAAAGGAGAGTTGAGCTGTGGAGGGGCCACAAGCTGTTTTAATATCTAAGAAGCTTCCCTACCTTATCTCCAAGGAGCAAGTTTCAGTTTTGAGAGGACATATTGCCCTTGCGAAAATGACAAACTGAGTTAACCATGAATTTGCCACGTTTAGCCATATGAACTAGATTTGTGGTTATATAACACAGTCTAAAACAAGCCAGAAATTTACATGTCAATTTTGCCCTTGTGGGTTAAAATTTAAAATGGGTTAAGGAGAAAAATAGAAAAGTGGAAGAAGAGGGAGAGATTAGAAGTAAGACTGGAGGACAAAGAGGGGACCATGCTAACTTTGGGATACTGGTGCAGAAGACCTGAGGGAGAGAAGGAAGACATAAAAAGAACAGAAAAGAACCACAACCACAAAGATGCTACTACAGTTATACTCATATGAAAACAAGAGCAAACAATGGAGAAAAAAACAAAACAAAAAACCAAAATCACCACCACAACAAGCAAGAGAGAGAGAAAAAAAAGTGTACATCTAGCTGTCTCTGCTGTCACTGGTATACAGTGTGGAGACAGTCCTGATTTGTGCTGGTCTATCCCAGCCAGCCAGCAGTAGCTTTTTGGCGGGGTAGTAGATAATCTCTGAGCCTGGGTCTTCTGGCCTAGCCATACCTGCACCTTTTGGCCTGCAGCTGTCAGCGCACCTGCTTTGAGCCTGAGCCCAGCTGGGAGCCTCTAGGTGTAGCCAGCAACCACTGAGCTCAGTCAGCCCCTCTCCAAGAAGGCACCTGGCATCTGGCCAGTCGCTCTCTGGGGGATAACTGAGCCCTCAGCACTCACTGCCAGGTAATGTAGTTCTTCAGGTGCACTGCTCCCGTCCACTGTTGCTTCTCTGTGGAGGCCTCTAGGGGCACCAGCATTCATTGTGTGTCTGTAAGTTTGAATTGCCCTTCTTGTGAAGTGAGTCCTGTCTCAGGGAGAAGGCTCTGCCAATTACTTTCTTCCTGTTCCTTGAAGTTTCTTTTTCTTTTCTTTTTTTTCATTTTTTATTTATTTGGTACAGGGTCTTACTATGCAGCTTGGATTTGTAGTGATCTTCCTGTTTCAGCCTGCCCAGCACTGAGATTACAGGCATGCACCACCATGGTCTTGGTGGCTGACTCAGCCCTGTGGTGCTCGGGATTGAATGTCCTTGTGCTTGCCTAGTGCTTAGACCACTCAGCTATCTTTGTGGCCCTGAAGTTTCTTCTTTTCTTTTTTTAAATTTCTCTCTTCTTTTCTTTCTTTCTTTCTTTCTTTCTTTTTTTTTTTTTGCCTTTTGGAGATAGGGTTTCACGATGTAGTTCAGGCTGGTCTAGGATTCACTTTGTAGCATGGGTAGGCCTTGAACTCAACAGCACTCCTCCTGCCTTATTGAAGTTTCTATCTTTGTTCCTTCTGTGAGCCTCAATTCATGATTCAGATCCTTCCTGGGTCCATTTCCCTCCTTGTCTTTCTCATGTTGCTATATTGCAGTGTCTGGACAGCTGAACTAAAGTTCTTTCTCTGCTGCTTACCACTCCACCCTCTTGGCCTCCCTCTTGCCCTTGAGAAGAATGCTTGTTTTACATGAGAATTTCTTATTAGCAAAAAAAAGTGGACTGAATCTTAGATTAAATGATGGTTAGAGATATAGATTAGAGATGTGTCACCTTTCTGTTTGGGAATAATAAAATCATAGAGACTAGATAAGTTACATATAAAATTAAAAGATCTAGGAAATGGATAGTAAATGATTTTTAGTAATCATGAGATAGAAGATTCAAAACTTTATTATAAAGTAATTTTTTAAATTTAGAAAATACTAATGTCCAAGTTAATAAATGAGCAAAGGATTAGAATATAAAATTCACAAAAGAAGATATACTTGCAAACTAATTATAATCAGATAAATATAAAAGAAGTTAAATCTTTGTCAAAGGATAATGAAACTGATACTTTCATGTATTGATGGCTTTGTAAATAGTAATACCTTTTGGGAATTTGCCAACACACTATATTTCATTAGATCTGAGATACTGTTGTTTTATGTGTCATTGAGTAAAAAAAATGCCACTATGATTATAAAATGCTATCTTGATTTCAATGAATTAAAGCATAGGAAAATAAAAGTCTTAAAATTGAATGATATAAGCATGCAAATGATTCTATCCTTTTGTACAGTAATTTAGAATTTTTTTATTTATTTGAGGTACAGGGATCAAACTTGGAACCTTGCGCTTGCCCTGCAGGTGCTTATTGTTGAGGCACCCAGCCAGGGGCCCCTTCCCCCTTGCACCATTTCTGGTGTTCCCGGATGCGCCAAGGACAACTGTGCTGCAAAGGTTTAACCTGGACTGTCTGAGTCCAGCTGTTTATGCATGTAACTTTGTTTCAGCTTGCTTCGAGGACTCTATACTTTGTTCTCGGAACACCCTGGCCCAGCCAGGGACACTTTATGACTTCTCTTCCCCATTCCCACCTTCCCAGAACTCCCTGGCCCAGAGAAGGATGCTATATGACTCCCCTTTCCCTGCTTTATAAAGTCTCTGCCTCCCAAATCATTGCTGCCGTTCAGGTCCTCTGAACAGCCTGGTACATGCTAGTTGTCATCAATAAGCCACTCCTTTTGTGCCAGCTAACATGAGTGTGGTCTTATGTGGATTTGAGGGTGTCTTTTCCCGACAGTTTTCCTGTCACTTATGCTGCTGAGCTATCTCCCTGGCCCACTACAATTTATCTTATGGACATCATAATAAATGGAGAAGCTTTTGGCCCCCAAAGATGCTAACTGTAGTAGTAGAACCACCAGTTGAGATGGAAGATTTGCAAGTATCAAAGAATCATACACACTGTCTTATAACCACAAAGATAGTATAGTATTTTAATTTGGGTTTTGTGCAAAGAATATCATTCCCAGGAAGTGCTCTTGTGAGGAGTTCTGAGGTCTCCTTCAGCCTATGGAGTAGCGGTCTTAGGCTCTCGTGCTCAGCTTTCTTTTGGTCATCTGTTGCTACTGAAACAGTCAGGGATTGGAGGGTCCTCAGGTTAAGGCTGCTAGCAGCCCAACACTGCTGTCCTCAGCAGCCATTGTGGAAGTGGGGACTTTCCCACTTGGACTGTAGCAGTGCAGTAGTGGGCTGGCTCAGCAGATGGATTTGAGGTGACTTGCAGGCTCAGGGAGTGGTGCTAGAGCCTAGGTCCTGTGAGTCACAGCACAGGCATAGTGCTTGGAGCACCACAGTGTCATCTATCACTGTTTTCTGCCTTGTACAGGTGATCCAGATCCAGTCCTGAGGTGCATTGTTTCTGGATTCTTTGCAAATGCAGCAAGGTTTCATTCTACTGGAGCTTACAGGTAACATGATACTTTATGAAGTTACTAGTTGAAGGAGAGATCGTTAAAATGACCTAAACCCCAGAGAAAGCCAGTGTGTATAGATAGTACAGAATTTATTTTTTAATATTTATTTATTTTTATTTATTACATTTATTTATTGTGTGTGTGTGTGTGGCCAGCTCAGCCCACCAGGGGGCGGGCTGGCTGGCATGTGGTGCTGGAGGATCGAACCGAGGTCCCTGTGCTTTGCCAAGCTTGTTTCAAGTAGGTGCTTTAGACCACTGAGCCATCTCTCCAGCCCCCAGAATTTATTTTTAATTCATCATGCCCTCTTCCAAAACTGAGTTGACATTTGCTTTAAGCAAATTAATCTTAACTCTCTGGAAGTAGTTCTTAAGTATTCAGCCTATCCACGTGTTACAATGGTTGTTTTAGAAGGAGGACAGTTGTGTGTCTAGAGGCTGGTAATATCTCATTTCTAATACTGGAATAATTTTACTAGAGGAAACCATTAATGATGTTTCCCAGAGAAATTACTTTGGCTGTTGGGTAGTTTGCTACGTCTTCAGAACTCTGCAGAACTGAAGTCACTGTTATGGTATGGCTATAGTGGTTTCTTTGTGCTCTAGTTTTTAGATGAAGAAACCCACTGATCATTGATGCCTGTAATACATTTACTGTATTTATTTATTTATTTTCTTTTTGTGGTACTGGGGATTGAACTCAAGACCTTGTGCTTGCCAGGCAAGCAATTATTCTGCTGAGCTATCTCCCCAGCCCTTTACTGTATTTAAATACAGTAAAAACCCTTTTCTCCAAAGCTATACATTCTTATTCCTTGATTGTTACTTTTCATTTGTCTCTTCTGTCCTGTGCCTCACTGGATTCTCATCACAGCACTGTAGCCTGTTGAAAGCATGGTGCGCATCATTTTTTCATCTTTAATGAAGGACCAATCAAAAAGTTTCTCCCTAGCTATTTTTCAGATATCCTCAATATGTTGTTTTGTCATTAGTTTTTTTCCTCTCTCTCAGAAAATATTGGAGTCCTTTTATTTTAGGCGACCAAGAGATTCATTTCCCCAAACACTGGGCTTCTGTAAAGGGTCTAGATTTCAGTGAGGACTTTTCAGATTTGGCAGCCAGGTCTCCTTCATCCAGTATCCTGGTAGCCAATGGTTTGCACTTGATAGCACTGCACATTTCTGTCTAGTTGGTCTGTTTGTCACTCCAGCCAGGTAGTCTAGTTATCACTGTCATAATTCTGTTACCTGTCACCTGGGCCCCTGCCCACGCTGAACTATGTGTATTTCAGGGACCCTTCAGATGGGAGCAGAGGCCTGAGCCCCTCCCTGGTGCATGCCCCTCATTTGTCATGTGCATTGCTCTTCCCCTGAGCAGTGCTGATTAGCGTGACCACCTGTCCTCCCTCCCTCTGCCTCTCTTAATGATTTCAGTGGGCCTTCTAACAATCATTTCACCAATGTCCTCAACAAAAATAGAGGCTACACAAGAGACTCCAGGTCAGTCATTCCTTTGAGACAGAGTTCACTCACTGTCACCTGACCACCATCACATGGGGCAGCCAGGGACCTTGGAAGCGGGCTTTATTATGCTGGTGATGATCTCTGCTCTGGGCTTATTTTTTCCGAGGAGCAGATCCCTCCTGCCCACAGATGCAACTCCATAATTGTTTTGGGCAGCAGCCTCCTACTCTGTTAGTGTTCTCTTGTGATCTGGTCTTATTGGTAATCATATGCTCAGTTAACAGTTTTTGAATTAAATTCAAACAAATCTTAGTTGGCATTGAAAAATAACTGTTTCAGAGAAACTCACAGGCCAATACTAAGCTTCTGTATGCAGCTGTTCTTACCTTCTGTTGTCGTCTTTAAACTTAGTACTTAACTTTGTGTAATTAGAAAGTTTGTAGAAGAAATCTCATATATTATTTCTGTCCCAAAGGAAAAAAAAATTGGAAGAGAACCTGCAAAGATAAACATAAAGGATATAATATTAAATTCCAAAATATATTTTTAGAATGTCCAATGTCCATGTGTTGCCTTCTCTTCCTTTCTCATTATTTATTCTTTTTTTTTTTTTTTTTTTTGCGGAACCAGGGATTGAACTCAGGCCCTTGAGCTTGCCAGGCAAGCGCTTATTCTACTGAGCCATCTCCCTGGCCCTCATTATTTATTCTTTATATCTGTGGTGGTGACCAGAGAATCAAGTAGGGTACTGGGAAGAAGGAGAGAATTGTTTGGTTCAGGCAAAGTTCAGTCTGCTTGCATTTTTGGATAATTTTAAAATTTTTTTAATAATAATTACTTTTTATTTTAATTAACTTATTTTTGTATGTATTTGGTACAGGGTCTTACTATGCAGCTCAGACTCGTAGTGATCCTCCTGGTTTCAGCCTCCCCAGTGCTGGGATTACAGGCATGTGTCACCATACCCAGTCTTGGTGGCCAGCTCAATGTGCCTGCGGGTGGGGCTGGTGCAGCATGTGGTGCTGGGGATTGATCCCCAGTCCCTGCACTTGCATTGGATAACATTTTTTAAAAGTCCTGTGGGAAAGTTTGCTGTATATACTTGAAATGTGCTTCAGGTAAACTTCTGTCTCCTCAGGACCATCCGTGATGATCATGAGCTGCATATCCACCCGGCATCAGTCCTCTATGCAGAGAAGCCACCTCGCTGGTAAGCCTGCCCTGCTGCTGGGCCTGAGGTCTGCTTTGGGAGCAAGGCCTAGTTGTTCTTCATCTCTTGGCCTCCAGGGTCTGGCTCAGGCCCAGGCTCTGGAATACAGGTGCTCTGTACATGTTTGTTGGCTTTGTTATTAGGTGGAATCTTCTTCATCAAGGTTCCCCTTAAGGAAATAGTGATATGTATTTCCACGCTCCTCTTTTGAGCAAATGTTTGCTTTTACTCACTGACTAGCTGCTGATCTCTTGGGTCAGCAAGATAGGTCAGCAGACTAAGTGCTTGTTTAGGCAGACACAGAGACCAGGTAAGATCCCCAGTACCCTGTATGCCTTGCCAGCTCTGCCCTGCCCCTGGGTGCGCTGAGCTGGCTACCAAGTCCAGGCATGGTGGCACATGTCTGTGATCCCAGTGCTGGGGAGGCTGAAAGCAGGAGGATCACTAGGAGTCTGAGCTGCATAGTGAGACCCTGTAACAAATACATAATTAATAAATAAGTAAATGCTGATCTCTCCATAGCACAGTTATGCTGAGATGGCTTGGGGTCCAGCTCATAGTCCCGGCATAGACAGATCCAGGCAGATTCCTGTATTGCAGAAGGTGTTTGCTGAGGTTGGCAATCAAGTGCTGACAGTGTCAGGACTGGCTTTGTATAGGGGATAGCATTTCCCAGGACCTACAAACCAATTTTTCAGGCATTTGAAATGAGGAAGTAGAATGAGCAAAGATGTGGCAACATGAAGGAACTTCATATCCTTGGGGACTGGGAAATCATGGTATGGGTATTGAGGGCTACCAAAGGGGTGACCCCTGCCCATGTGCAAAACTGGCTGGGAAGGAAAAGGTAAGTGCACAAGTTGGGAGAAGCCATTTAGTCATTCTGAAGTGTTTTGATGGGTTGTGTTTATGTCTGTTCAATTTAATACTGCTACAGGAATTTTATTTTCTGCCTTTTAAAATTTAATTTTTGTAATTTGGTTATATTTTATACAAAAGTATTGATTGACAGTGGATTAGAATGTTAAAGACAACAACAGCTGATCTTTTACCAATTGGAAGATGGAGGGAGAGTATTGGGGAACAGGGAGGGGTGTGTCTACAGACAAGAGAGGGAGGGTATGGAAGATAAAGTCAGAGGGCAGAGAGATCTGTTGTCTGGTAATTTGTAGCATAGACCAATGGTTTTCCAAGTGTGATATCCAGACTGGCATCAGCACCATCTGAAAACTTGGGGGAAGTGCAGACTTATCCAGCTCTGGATTTAGAAATGTTACCCTGTGGCCATTACCATGTAGAGTAAGTTGAAGAGAGGAGTGAAACATGAGTTCTGGATCCCTTTCCTAAGCGTTTGCTATTTTGGGGTGATTAAATTTGAAAAGGTTTATTTTCCTGCTCTGTTTGCAAGGAATTCTGAAGGGCAAATAGGGCAGGGTGGAAGTCCAGCCAGCCTGGACGCAGGCCCGGGCTGCTCATGTAACCAAGAAGTTGACCCTTCCTCCTGTCTCTGTGCAGATCTCTATCAGCTGCAGTTGATCCAGTGGTGGTGGGGCGAAGGTAACCAGTGTGCCTCTGAGCCTTCAGGGCACTGAGCGGCATCCTGAATCAATACTTCAGATGCCTCAGAAGCTGCTGTCTATTAATATGTGCTCCTGAAGTCTGGGAACTTGAACATATGTACTTGGCTTCTGGTTGTGCATTACCTCAGCCTCTTTTTTCCTTTCCTTAAATAAAGTTATAATTTATATATAGTCAAAGATCAAAGTGTATACACCTATGTAACTTGCATTCTAAATAAGGTAAAAATTTTTTTTTTCATCACTCTGAGAAGCTCTTTTGTGTCTCATAGTTACTTCTCAGCCCTTTTCAGAATCAGGCAAGCCTTATTCTCTATTTTAGCATTTCCATTTAAGTCCTTAATTTCTTTTCCGAGTTCTAAATGCAGGCTAAAACTCTAGAAAGGTTCTTCGCAGTTAACTCAGGTGCCCTCGTAGGAAATCATGTGGGTGTGGTGTCTCATGTAGAACGGAAGCTCTGACCCTCACTCAGGCCATGCTAGTGAGCAGCATGGATGCGTGTGCTCAGTGAGGGGCCTGCCCTGTGTCTGTGCCACCTAAGGTTAGGGGAAGAGATGCCTCCTCTATAACTGTGTTCCTGACCATCCTAAGATGTGCTTTTTCTTGTTACAGGGTCATCTACAATGAAGTTATACAGACCTCTAAGTATTACATGAGAGATGTGACTGCCATCGAATCTGCTTGGCTGTTGGAGCTGGCTCCACACTTCTATCAACAAGGAACGGTAGGAATGGACAGAGGCTGTTCTCCAAGCTGCCAGCTAGAAGCTTCTTCTTATTTTGAATACAATTATTCCAATGTAATAGCTGAAATTTGTCGTCCCCTCCCCACTTACATATCCCTGAACATTCGGGATAAAAGCACTTGATCATTGGCTTCATAGAAAAGTTCAATTAAAAATAAGTCCCTCGGGGCCAGGGAGATGGCTCAGTGGAATAAGTACTTGCCTGGCAAATGAAAGGGCCTGAGTTCAATCCCTGAAAAAAAAGTCCCTCCATAAGGAGAAGAAAAGAAAAAACAGTAACAGTCTCTCTCCTCTCTGTTTTGGGTCCTCTTAATGCCTTCCCAAAGCAGTTTCCTCACCCTTAGGACTGGCATTAGGAGTGGCACAGGTTCTCTAATGAGGACCACCCCAGAGCCTGGAAGCAGGCACCGAGATGAGAAGCTCATTGATGGGTGACGGTAAGCAGTGTGCGGGCAGCTGGTGTGCACCGTCTGCCATGGGAGGCCATGTGCAGGATGAGTGCAGTCAAGAGCATTGGAGAGCACATTGAGAGCTTTGTTTTCTCCTTTAGTTTTGCAAGCAATGGTTCATTTATTGCCCCAGAAAAACATAGGATTTGGCATCTCATCTGTGGAATGGATGCTCTGGCCCACACTCAGGTCCTGCTGCTCAGTGAGCAGCACGGGCACATGTGTCTTTTTCCCACTTCTACCTGGGAAAGTGTCTGCTTGTATTTTTTTCCAAGCTTCTATCTATGTCTTTTTTTCCTGTAGCCTGAAGAACTTCCTTTATTGTGTCTGTTAGGACACACCTGCTATTGAAGTATTCTTTTAGTATTAATTTCTTTGCAAATGTCTTTACTTCATTTTCATTTTTCAAAGATATTTTTCTGTAGAGTTCCTTTTGTGTGTGTGTGTGTGTGTGTGTGTGTGTGTATGTGTGTCTCTTTTTTAGAGAGGGTCTCACCATGCAGTTCAAACTGGCCTTGTGCCCACTTTGTATCCCAGGCTGGTCTTGAACTTGCAACAGTGCTCCTGCCTCAGCCTCCTGATGCTGAGATTACAGGTGTGCACCACTGTGCTGGGCTTCTTTTTTTGTAGGGGGAGTATGGTCTTTGTCTCAGTTACTTGTCTCTCATTGCTGGGACAAATACCAGACACTCAAAGGAAGGAAAGGTTTATTTATTTTATTTTATTTATGTATTTAGTATAGGGTCTACAGGGTCTCACTACATAGATTGGACTCATAATGATTCTCCTGTTTTCAGCCTCCCAAGCATTGGGATTATAGGCGTTCCCCACCACACCCAGTCCTAATCACTGTCTCAGCACACCCTGGGGGCGGGGCCAGCAGGGCACACCAGGAATTGAACCCTTATCCCTGCACTCTGCCTAAGCAGGCACTCGGATCTGCTGAGCCTTTTGGCTGGCCCTAGGAAAGGTTTATTTAACTCATAGTTACTGTAGGTTTTAGTCCATACTCAGCTGGCTCCAAGGCAGAGTGGCACATCACAGAGATCAACCTTTCATGGTGGCAGCAAAGAGCAGAGAGCAAAATGGAGGAGCAGCAGCAACAGTGGCTGCAGAGGGGAAGTCTGTCTCCCTTAAGGTGCATTCAGGCTCTCTGCCCCGGCCTGGGAGTAGTACTCACACCCATCATCTCAGCAGCACTCACACCCGTAATCCCAGTGCATCATGAATTAATCACAGACTCTAGAAGTCCACCCCATGACTACATGAGGCTTTGGGGGGACAACTAGACACAAACCTTAACAGTCTGCTATGTAGTCCAGTCTGGCCTCAAATTCATGCCATCTTCCTGCCTGGGCCACCTGAGTGCTGGGTTTTGACCTTGCTCTTGCCAGGTAGTTACTGTGCCACTGAGCTCTGTTCTTATCCCCCAAGTGCTGGGTTTGCAGGAGTGCATCACCTTGCTGTGTTTTTCATTTTAACTTTTTTTTTTTTTTTTGCGGTACCGGGGATCAAACTTGGGACTTTATGCTTGCCAGGCAGGTGCTTAAAGCAGCTCAGCCATCTCCCTGGCCCTCATTTTAGCATTTTAAAGAGTGTATTGTATTGCTTTTTGGTTTGGAGTGTTTGCAAGAACCCAGCAGTCATTTCCATGGTTGTTCCTCTTTATATAATGGTTTCTGCTGCTACTGTGGATCCTTTTAGTTTTTTTCCTTTATCTTTGATTTTTAGCAGTACGACATATGAAGTGCTTATCTTTGTGTTTATCCAGTGTGCAGTTTGCTGAGTTTATTGGATATTAGAGTTGATGTTTAAAATCATATTTAAGATAACTATTCTTTTAAGTATTTCTTGTGCTCCATTATCCCCTTACCAGCTCCCCTGAAACTCCATTTATATATGAATTAGAGCTCTTGGTATTGTCTCACGTGTCACAAAGGCTCTGATCTTTGTTTTTTGCTTCATTTGGGACAGTTTATCTTGCCCTATCTTTGACTTTACCTCTCCCTTTCACTTTGATTTTTACTTTTACATTTCTGTTTAATACTTCATGTGTTTACTCATTGCATCCATCTTTAAGTTTTTGAACATGTGTATAACAACAGTTGTAAAACTTGTCTACTAATTCATCTGTTGTCATTTCTTTTTTGTTTTATTTTTTAGGGGAGAGTCTACAGGGTGTTCAGGGCCTCACTACTAGATCTGACTCATAGTAATCTGCCTGTTTTCAGCCTCCCACGAGCTGGGATTACAAGTGCGCACCACCACGCCCAGTCTCAATTGCCCTCTCAGCACACCCTAGGGGCGGGCGGGGCCAGCATGGCAGGCCCTTGGATTGAACCCCTGGCCCCTGCACCTGCTTGCAGGTGCTTTAATGCGCTGAGATATTTGACTGGCCCTGTCATTTGATATTTTTGTTTGTATTTTTTATTTTTCTTCAGTTTGCTATTTCTCTTGTGCAGTAATTTTTGTTGTGTGTTGGATGTTGTAGATGCGATGTGAGTCTGGGTTTGTTTTCTTTGTATAGAATTTTGTATCGGTGTCTTCTGGACATCAGTTTGTTTATTGGCACCTCAGTTTGATTCTGCTAAGACATGATCTTGGTCATTAATAGGGCAGGTCTTAGCTACATGTCTAAGGTATAGTTCTTGATGTCTCAGTCAAATACCTGGAATACTGAACGAGGTCTCAGTACTCAAATGCATCAGAGTTCTGCCTTCACCAGCACTGCACAAACCTGTAAAATCTCCATTTTGGCTGGTAGCTTCCTGGTACTGTACTCTGCCATTCTCATTAAACTCTTGGCGTGCACATGTGCAGGTTGGATTTCAGCCAAAGGCTTCAGGATAACCCTGTGGAGGCTTATGGTGCTTCTTTTTTCTGATGCTTTGTTCTGCAGATTCCAGCTGGTATGGCAACCCTGAACTCTTGTCTGTTTCCTTCAGTCTTCTCTGTTTAGAATTTACCTCCTTCTGCCAGGTGCTAGAGGCCTCTATAGAGACCCAGAGTGAATGTGAAACACTCCTTTTGTTTTCTTTGTCAAGGATTACAGTCCCTCTTGGGGTGGTGCTCAGAGGTAGAGCAGGTGCTTAGCATGTATGCGCTAGCATATATGAAATGGTGGGTGCTTAATATGTGGGTTCAGTTTTCAGTAAACACACACACACACAAACATACACACACAGAGAATTAGAGATTAGAGCCTTGCGCTGTTCTAATGCCTGAAAAAAGTTATGCCATACATTTTTTCAGGTTTCCTGTTATTTATAGTATAAAGGAAAGTCTGAGACCTGGTACTCTTATCAGGGATGGAATTGGACTGAGCAGTGTTTCAAACCAAAATCTCAATTGTTTGTTGCATTTAAAAATTTGGAGAATAGCCTGGAACCCTGGACATGCTGTGTTGTCCCTGAAGCCAAGTGTGGTGGCACACACCTGTAATCCTGATGCAGGGGAGGCTGAGACGGGAGGATTATTTTGAGTCTGAGCTGTGTAGTGAGACCCTGTATCAAAATGAATAAAATAAAATTAAATTTCTAAAAATTCAGAGATTTAAGTGAGTCTGGGTACCAGATGCTCGTAGGCCCAGCACCTTGGGTGGCTGAGGCAGGGAGCTCACTTGGGCCCACGAGTTGGATACCAGCCTGGGCAGTGTAGGAGGGAGATTTAATTTTTTTTTCAATTAAATACAAATATCTGGCTTTTCTTGAAATAGATATTAAATCTGGTGACACAGAGGCCAAGGTGCTGCTTTGTGACTGTCAGCAGGAACCAGGAATGGCTCTGCTTTCCATGTGTCACAGAGCTGTGACACTGGTTCATTCACTCCCTCAGCTCTTGGAGAGCCTTGCGTTTGTGACCCTCTAAGTAGTCTTGTCGTCCCTCTTTGTAATGTTGAAGAGAATTGCCCTTCTAAGTCTTATAATATTGAGTCCTTATCCAGCCAAACAAAAGACAATTCAAATGTTCATAGTTCTTTTTTTGTTTTTTTCTTTGTGGTTTGAGCGATTGAATCCAGAGCCCATGCAAGGTAGGCAAATACCCTTCCACTAATTAAGCAATATCTTCCACCTTTTTTTAAATTTAAATTTTTATTTTTGACATAGAATCTTGCTAAGATACCCTAAGATAATCTTGCTTGAACTCTTGAGCCTCCTGCTTCAGCTTCCCAATTATAGGCATGTGACACTGAGAGCAGCCCTTTATAGTTCTCCACACATCCTCATACAGATATTTCTGCTTGAAAGCAGATCTGCAGCAACCAGTGAAAATGCAGGGTTTGTTGTTTGTACTTTATTGGGTTGAAAAGAGTAAACCTACAGTGGAAGAAAATGTTTTCTTTCAAAATGTCTCGACTAGAAAACAGTAGACTCTAGGAGTGCAAGAGAAGTGGTTAGAAATGCAGGCCAGAGGCGGAGAGCAGGCTGCGCCTGTGAACGTGCCTGTTAGGTAATAGGACGCTAGCAGTTGGGGATAATCCTGGAAGTGTCTTGGATTCATTTAGGCTCTTGGAGAACAGAATTAGCCTGGATTCTGAGTCATTTTCCCTTCTTAGCTGAAAATTACAGCTTCTTTAGGTTAAACTCACAAAGTTAAAGAGCAGATAGTTTCAGAAGTTTGAGGGAAATGACAGGCTCTCCAGATGCCTTTCACCCCATCACCTCCACTGTGATCTCAGTATTTTTAGCAAGGCTGGGAGCGTTAAAAACCAACATCCTCATTGTTCAGCAAGTGTTCCTACCTCCCTCCGTTGGAAACTTCGCCTTTTCTTAACTAAGTCCAAAGACACTTCTACTGTTTTTTTTTTTTGGCAGAACTGGGGATTGAACTCAGGCCCTTGCGCTTGCCAGGCAGGACACTTCTACTTTTAACTTTTCCAAAGAAGATGGAATTTTTTCGGTCCTCTGAGTCTTCAGGGGCTGCCCATCTATGGTAGATATTCTTTGTTAAACATAATTCAGTGCTTCACCACTGCGCACCACCCACAGATTGTCTCTGCTTTGTTCCTGGCACCAGTGGTCGCTTTCCATCTCATCTTTCAGTGCTGCACTCACTCTGCAAAGAGACCCAAAATGGTCCAGAGTCTGTTTTGTTTATAACCAACATTCTTTCCAGAAATTGAGGACCAAAAATGGCCCCACAGGCAGGATGGTGTCATTGCCCATTCTGAGCTAAGGCCATGGTTATCTAATATTAGTTGTAGGGTCCTGTCAGGTGAAGTACTGAGAAAACTAACTGAAAATTAGCAAGACCGATATCTGGCCAGAGGAGGCACAGGGATTCCTGTTGAAAGATTTGTCTTCCAGTTCTTAACCTTTTTCTAGATTCTCAAAGATACCATTGTTATCCAGCGCAAACCCTTCTAGCCTGGTCTTTACCAGCCACCTGCACTGCCATGGTCCTTCCTCAGGTGTGAGTAGAGAGAAAGTCTGACTTCGGGCTGCTCTTTCAGAGGAAGGTCCTGTGCCGAGTCACCTCTCAGCTTGCAGTGGCTGTGTGTGGCATGTTCTTTCGGGGCCTGTAGTTCTCCATGTGATGGTGCCAGGGCTTGCTGTTGGGTGGTCATGGAGTGTGCTGGGATACGGGGTTTGGGACTTAGCAGGTGCAGGTGGGAAGATTATTGATGGGGTATCAGAAATCCCTCAGTTGGTGAGAGGAAGTTCATTATTAGAAGCTCATGTTCACATATGCCACCATAAATGTTTATTGTAAAATTTCTAGCATTTTGGTTTTACCTTAAAATGTGAACACTTTCACCCCTTAGCCTTGTTGTCTGATACCCATGATGATAATCTTAGTAAACCTTATATTTTTACTGGTTGTGACATTTCTGGGAAAAGGGTCACTAGGAAGTATTCTTTTCCTCTCTGCCTTCCTAGCTTGTGTGTTGCTTTAGCAGACAGGGATGTGGATTTAGTGCTATCCTTGAGAATAGGCACTGCCCATGTTGAGACAGTTGGTAAATCACCTGATGCTCTGGTGCCTCAGGAAAGGATCCTTTTCTTTGAGTATTTAGGAACTTCTTGGACTGTCGAGGTCAGCCCTGCCCAGTCCTTTTAGCATCTAGGTTCAGCAGCAGTGCTGCCTGTGGGCTGGGGTCAGAGGAGCTGTCTGAAGGCAAACCTTTCATTGGCAGGTGCCCCAGGGTCCTGTGTAGCCAGGTTCATTGTGTCGTTGGCCTGGGGCTGCTCATAACCTCCCTCAGAGCTGTGTTCTTTTTTTAAAAAGCTTTGTTTATTTGGTACAGGGTCTTGCTATGCTTTTCAGACTCATAGTGACCCTCCTGTCTCAGCCTCCCTAGTGCTGAGATCATAGGAAGGTATCACCACTCCTGGTTAGGGGCTGGCATGGCATGCAGTACTGGGGATCGAATCTAGGTCCTTGCATTTGCTGGGCAGGCGCTTAGAATGCTGAGATGTCTCCCCAGCCCAGACCTGTGTTCTGTGTTGGTCACATGGGCTTTCCCCCTCTGTGTTTTCTGAAGACATAGCATTTCTAGAGAAGTCGCAGATCAAATGATTGACTTAATTTAATCACTGCCATGGGAACTATGCTGGAGTTTGGTTTCTTTGTCTAACTATGGTGATTTCTGTTCTTTTCCAGCACCTGTCCCTGAAAGCCAAGAGGGCCAAGGTCCAGGACCAGTGAGTGAATGCAGCTGCTCAGTGTCCTCTGTTCCTTGCTGCCCTGGCTGAGCTGGCACAGTTCATGTGAGACCTGCAGAAGCGCTGGAGTGTGTGCGGCCACTCAGCAGCCCCTTTCATCCTGCTCTCCTCGGCATTTGCAGTCCTTGCTGGGAATGCAGAGGAGCCTGTGTGGGCGGGTGTCCGGCCGCATGGCTCCCAGGCAGAGCGGGGGCGGGCTGAGCTGTGCTCTTGGCTCCCTCAGCACGCTTACATACCTGCTCACATACCCGGTGTGCCACCTCTCCAGGCGCCGGCCTACCCTGCACAGGGAGGAGGAGGAAAGTTAGCCTCTGGAGGCTGCCTTGTGTGATGTACAGCGCGCCGTAGACACAGGTGTGCTGGGCTGGCTGTGCTCCGCCTGCTGTGGCCACAGCTGTGCTGTCCACTGCCAGGTGCACACAGCGTGCATCTCCGAAGCAGGAGACCTTGGAGAGGCTGGCGATCTCTGCCTGCCATGAGGGACGATGTCTGTTGGACACAAGGGTTCCCAGACAAAGCAGCTTCTGTGTCCTCTGCCCCGTCCCTGCTTCTCTGCAGCCCCGGGCTTGCGAGGGCCTGGGAAGCCCCGAAGTCTCCTCGGCCCAGGGTCTGTCCTTCCCAAGTGGACTTAGCGTTCTCTCCAGATGCGATGTGGTGTTCAGGAGCCACTCGCTGAGCACTGCTGAAGGCTCTTCAGCTCCAGCCCCATGCAGCTGCTCCATAGCAGGAATCACTCTGGTTTAGATGCTCTAAACGTCCATAGCTCAGGAACATAACTGGTATCAATGTTTGTCTTTTGTTTGTTGGCCTGCGTCCTGCAGGAGTGCTCGGGCTGCCTCTCCAGCAGGCACTGACTCACCCCTGGGTACTTTGCTGCCGTGAGGATTGTGTTTCAGCACGTGACCAGGCGGATTCTTCCCCTCACTCTTTCAGTGACATTTATTTTAAATACATGTAGCTTAAAAATTTATTTTTATACTGGTTTTAGTTTGGATGTGCCACTTTTGGCACCAAACCTGTATGTCATTTTTATTTCCATTTTATAAACATGTAAATAGCAATGATTACTTGTTAATAATAGTGAACCTTTATACCTAAAATAAATGTATTCCCTCCCACCCATGGATCTCATTGTCTGTATTTTAATTGTTAAAATTCACATTAGTTCCAAATGAAGACCTGACTGCCAGAACCCCTGCAGTCGTGGTGCCCAACTGCCGTCAGTGCCGTGGGGGTCCGGGCAGCTCCAGAGCCAAGTGTGTGTCCGAACACCAAGGGCTTACAGAGCACACTGCAAAGGATAACCGAAGCAGGCACTCGTGTTGGCCACTGTGCAATTTGGATCATTCTACAAGGGGCGCAGGAACATGTTATTTTTAAAGGTTGTGTTGTAGTGGGAAAGGGGAAAGTTAAAGGATCCATACCCTTAGGTGTGAGACCAGAAATTCAAAACAGGAGGCCAGGAGCTCTGAAGGGGGCAGACGGAAGCACACTTTGACTTGCTACCTTTATCTTCGAGTGGCTCATCCTAAGGAATCTCTGCTGTGTTCCTCACCTGTCAGAGGGCTTCATTTGTATCCTGTGGGTGGAGACAAGTCCTGTCTGAGATGCACAACAGAAAAGTCCTAAGACCCCAGCCCAGGGCTGTCTTTCTATATTTTTGTGGTGTGGCCTGCACAGGCCCTGCTGGTTTCCGCATACGGATTCCCTGTGTTTTTAGATACTGCACCTGCAGGCCATGCTATCTAGTTAGCAGATGTTGGCTGAGCCCTTGGGCTATGTATGGTGCAGGAATGGAGTAGAGATTGCTTATCCACAAAGAACTGGAGGCATAGCTAGACATGGTCATGCATAATCCCAGCTACCTCTGGAGGTTGAGGAAGGACGACCAAGAGTTGGAGGCCAATTTAGTAAGACACTGTTTCAAGAAAGGACCACGGTTATTCTGGTGAAGTTCTTGCTTACCATGCATCAAGCCCTGGTTGGATCTCTAGCACCCTAGAAAAAAGGGAGGGAAGAAAGGCAAGGAGGAAGGAGGGAGAGAGGAGGGATAGAGGGAAGGAAGGAAAGAGGGAGAGGAAACCGGCAGACTGGAAACAGCATGATGGTTTTTCATTTTTTTTAAGACCAACAGTCCTACTCAACCTTCCAATTGAAAAACCAATTCAAAATGAAAACAAACTCCTGAGCTTGGAAACTGCTAGGTTGTGAGCTGGGGGGATGTGGGCCTGCTGGCTGTGTCAACACCAAGTGTCTGGGAACGTAAATCTGAATGCCAAGCTGCTGAATTTCCAGGGAGCTTGTGAAGCAACCAGGTGACTACCTGCCTCTACGTCTTGCAGGAAGGATTCAAGCTAGCTGGTCTTAACTACCAGTTTTTCTTCACCTCAAGTCTGGTATTTTAAAAATTTCTAATGACTCACCTGGCTTTCCTTGGCCTTCTAGCTTTTATTGGGATTGGATGGTGGAACTCTGGATTATTGTCAGTTGAATCTGTTTTTGAGTCATTGCAATTGGACCTGACCAATTAATTTGTTTGACAGACATCTGGCCACTTGGGGTGAAAAGCTAGTTTGTCCGGGAAGAACTGGTGGCCCCAGGGTCCTGGCAGTCACTGCTTCCTCAAGCACAGTTGCCTTGCGGCCACCTGGGTGAATGACCGAGTTGCCTTTTGCACTCTTGGTTGGTACTGAACCTGTCAGACCATCTCCTTCCTGCTTAGGGGGGCCAGCATGAACCCCAGGGTAGCACGTGGCAGGGCTCCTTCCCACGTGTGGGTTCTATTACCTGAAGCCAGGAAGCAGAGAGGGGCTGGGAAGGGCAGATGCACAAAGGAGTGGGGCGGTGGGGCAAGAGGACAGTGGTTAGGGCCCTCAGGCAAAGGACGCACTGGCTACTGTGTAAGGCCCTGGGGTCTTGGCCCTTGGCCATGGCATAGGAAGTGGCTCAGAATTCAAAGGTCCTGACCAGGCTCTTTGCTGGTTTCAGCCTGCTGTGCAAACTGGTACTCGATCTACAAGCGACCTGTAGTTCTTTCTGCCTTCTGAATGACCATTGTGGTTAGCTTCTGCAGCCAGGCACTCAGGTGCCCCAAGAACATATGCTGGCTGATAGGACTTAGCAACCAGCTGTCAATCTTTAGCCTTTGCCTCTTGGTTGCATTATTTTTCTTTGTTTTGGGCTTATAACTATAGTCTTAGGTTTGATTATTGTCTGCTGTCCCCATGCATTTTTTTTATTTGTTCCATTTTTTTTGTTCCTATTTTTGGTTGTGTTTTACACCTTTAATCTTTGCCTTCTACATCATTTTCCTTTTTCCATGAAGTTTTGAAAATAGTATTTGTGTGTTTTTATACTTTTTTCAAAAGTATTTTCCCTTTAACACTTAATTTAACTTCTTGGGGTCTTTTTACAGTTTGTTTCTTTTATTTTGAATACTTAGATACAAAACCTCTTGTAGCCTGTATTTTATCCCATTTAGTATGTTTTTTTTTTTTTTTTTTTTTTTTTTTTTTTTAGGACAAGGTGTACAGGGTGTACAGGGTGTATAGGGTCTCACTGTGTAGATCAGACTCTTAGTGATCCTCCTGTTTATAGCCTTCCAAGTGCTGGGATTACAGGTGTGCACCACAATACCCAGTCTCAGTCCCTGTCTCAGCATGCCCTGGGGGCAGTGGCGGCACAGCAGGCCTGGGGATCAAACTCCTGGCTCCTGCAGGCTGCACTTTAATCCGCAGAGCTTTTTGGCTGGCCTTTAGTATGATAATTTCGAACTCAGAAAATCTAACCTCATCTTCTCAGCTTCCATTCCTTTTTTTCTCTTTCTATGCTTAACTTGCTTTAGTGGTTAGTAAGGTGTGGGGGCTTCAAGAAGATATTTGCCATGGTAACATCAAAGTTTAAATGTCAAGAATAGACGGGAAACTCCAATAAATCCATAAAAAAGAAAATGGGCCAAGAGGGTGATCAGGTGGGTTATAAATGCAGGCCATCACCAGCCAACGAGGAAATGCTCAGACTCAGTCATCAGAGAACATTAACACAATAACTTCACGTCCTTTCATTAGATCAACAAAACTGGATGGGTGGGAGGCCCACCTCTGCCTACAGCAGGTGCACCAGGCCCAGCCAGCCTCCAGGTATTGTGACTGCGGCAAAGCCAGGAGGTCTGCATCAGGAATGCCACCTGTAGGTGGTGGAAGATGATGCAGAATGGCACACGCCACAATAAAGAAAAGTTTAAACAAAACAAGGGCCCTAAGTGTCTGAAAGAGACCTAGTTTTGGAACACGAATCTTACCCAACATTTTCGACAGTTGTCAGTTGTCCTAGTGAGGTGGGCATCTGTGGAGTTGCCACTGACTCCGAGCTAATACCCAGCAGGAGCTGCTTCTGTGCCACATGGAATGACCAGCGAACAACACGAGCAGCTGATGGCTACACGTCCCATCACAGCATGCTGTGTTATTCAGATATGTGATCTTGTCATCCCTCTGCCCTTACTCATATTTATTCTGCGTCCCTCAAGGTGGCCTTGGTTTTTCACCAACAGCAACAACATCAGGGCTGGTGAAGCCACCAGGGAGTGCAAGGCTTGCAGTCTGAGCCCCTTTCATCAGAAATGATGAAGGCACCAGGAGGGCCCACCACGTGTGTGGGTAGACTGCTGGAGCAGATGGTAGTTCGTGAGACTTGTCAAGACCCAGCTCCTCCCTATGTCTAAGACGGGAGCCATGGGGCACGCTGCATCGTTGGGTCTGCCTGCTGATCAGCAGCAGCCTTGAGATGAAGTTAGGCGCTCAGCCTACGGGGACTCCTGTCCTTACATGTCAGCTCTTGGCACTGGGCTGCCCGAGCTCTGGACCTCTGAGCTGACTGGGATGCTTATGAGCCTAAGAGAGGTGCATATGCCAACCAAGGCTCTGAAAATCTCTTGGTGACTTTTATTGGAGGAGGAGCAAGTAAACTACATCTCTGTTTGCTGACCCCAGTGTGGCTCCCTTTTTTATCCTTATTGTCTTGCTGGGCATCAAAAACCAGTTTAATTAGCACCGGTGTCCAGTTTTCCAAGGATTGCTCCTAGGTGGCTGAAATCTGGGCCAGGTTAGCGAGATCAGAAGCAAATTGGAAGAGCCACTTATTAAATTTAAATCTTGCTCTAAACTGTCTGCTGCTTGGAGGAGGATATTTTACATCAGCTTGATTGTCTCTGATGTCAGCTCAGGAGAACGGTAGTTCTGGGGTGGCTGCCTGTCCCAGGGGTGGGCAGGGTCACAGAAACCCAGCTTCTAGGGGGATCCCAGCAGGTTTTCTGTTTCTAGCTTCGTAAGTCCTGGGCCACTCTTCTAGACTGTGGGAAGGCCTGGCCC